AGATGGAGATATTGTAAGAGAAAAGCAACAATAGAAAAATGAACTTCATCACTGTGATCATAATTATTGTGGTGTTTCAGTTTGTTGTTCTAACAGGACAGTTTGAGCTGAAAACATTAAGATGTAAATACTCACTGTTAATAAGAGACAGATGAATCATAAAGTCTGGACCTTCTTGTGATCCTGCTGCTGTTTTGAACTGTCTGCAGGTGTAACGACCAACATCCTGATCTGTGACCTTCTTTATAACCAGAGAACAGTCTGCAGAAAGACTCAGTCTGTCTGATTCAGGTTTGGCTTCTATATTCTGCCCAAACTCAAAGAGTGATACTGCACTGCTTGGATCACTGAAGATCCAGGTAGTACTGTTACAGTTATGCTGACCTTGTAACGAGGTGTTACAAGGCAGAGTAACATCACGTCCATGTTCAGCTGTGACAGTTTGATGTTGCTCAGTTGTTCCTGTTGAGAAAAAGAGAGAGAGAAATGTGAAACATCAAATATGTTATGAATATGAGTGTTATGTTTATAATGTGAAGTTTATTTTAAATACAACACAAGTTTAAAATTCAACTTTAGTTTTAAAGAGTCAGCTAAAGTCAAAAAGTTCATCATGACTGTCTCAGTTAAAGGAGGAAAAAGAAGTAACACTTGTGATAATAATGCAGTTTATTAATTGAATGTGTTTCTATGTACACTTACCTTTAAACTGAAGCATCAGTATCAGTAATGAAGACATTTGAATCCATGTGAATGCAGCCATCGTGCTTCTCTGTCTCTCTCAGTCTCTCTTCTTGCTCTCAGAGATGAACACAGCATCAACTTCCTGCTCACTTCCTCACAGTGACATCACTCCTTTTCTTTTCCTCTGTTTCTAGATTCAAGATTCATCAGTTATTAGCTTTTGTGTTTAATTACCTACCTCCTTTCTCTTAAAGTTTTTCACTAATTTAATATCTACATTATTTTAACTTTTATATTCAGTGTAATTTGCAGACTCTCGTGTCACCTTTTCCGAGGACTCTACATCAGTAGAAAATAATCAATAACAGAATAGAGGAAGTTAAAGGTGTGAAGACCGTTAGATGAGGTAAGTGTTGACATTAATGCAGCTCTTCTGTACATTTGGTTTATTATTAGAAAACAGTTTTCCATGGTGATGGCTGTCTGCATACATGAATCAGGTGAAGGTTCAACTTCTTTACACACCATGATTTTACTTTTAATGCTTACAGTGAAACATGAAGATACTGGTGCAGTCACCACTGTTAGCAGCTCTAACAGTGGTGACTGCACCAGTCACAAGGACACAGATGAGAGGTGTTAGTGGTCAGATACCTGTTATTTCTAATTTTTCTCAGTAGTTAAGAGGAAGTGTTTCAGTAAGAATGTGGGTTCAACAGCAACAGTGCTCGGAAAGTTTCATGATGACCTGATGAACTTCTGACACATCTACAAGTGTGTGACTGAACTGTCTTTAAGTTTCACACCTTTTTTTTTACCACATAGCTCATCCTTTAATCCGAATTTTTAATGCAATATGGGTATAATTTGCAATTATATATAAATATATCACAGGAGATATATTTATATGTTATTTAGAAAAGACTGTTTACAGTTCAGTTCAAACAGAGCTGTTTAAACTAGCAGGGTAAAGATTTAATACTGAAGATTAAAGAACATGAAGTCAGACTGGAGACAATAATAGTTTTTTGTACTGCGGTCTGAGGTTCATGGATCAGATATGTGCGAAATGCCAAAAAGAGAAAGAGCCACAAAAGATACAATAAAAATCAGTCTCAAATACTTTTTACTTTTTTGATTTATTTTCATACCCCCAAATCAAAGAAAAATAGTTACAGATAACATTAAAGTTATAATATAGGCCATGTTAAGGCCCTGAGCCTCGAAGGGAGACTGCCCTTTTTTATTCAAGCAAATCCAAACGTGCTAGGACTCGTGGATGATTGGTTACTTACTTGGAGACCTGTGCCGGCCCTCTTCTATGCAAACTGAAGTGTGACAGTGCACGCAGGTGATTGGCTACCTGGGGATGCCATGATACTCCAAGAGCCAATGAGTGGCTGATTGTGTCCATCTGCGGTTATAAAATGCTGAAGATCCTTCACGATACAGGGCTGTTGCTGTGCCATGTCCTCCTCACCCGCCTCTCTTTTTGAACTTTGTTTGTTAAACCTGGTATATGGTTGAACTTAGTTTGATTTGAGTTTTGTGATGCTAGCTTGCCTTAGTTAACCCTTAACTTTTACTTTTTTTCTGTGTTAATGCTTTACGTGTTAATTGGTTGCCCAGTGGTCTTTTGAACAGCCCTGTCGGTCCTTTGTTTGAAGTTTGCAATAAAACCTTTTATTTTACTCAGTTTTCGTGTGAGGGTTCGTGTATGTTACTCCCCTCCTGTCCCCTAGCAGAGGGGGTGCTAACAACCTGCTAATAACATCAGTTACTGCAGCTCAACAAGAAAGACCAGAGATAAAAATGAGGAATAAAGACTAGCAATCAACTACAAAAGAAGAAATGTAAACAGCAGTGATGAACATGTTTTTCTGATCTTAGTCTTCTACCTTTTGCTGTACACTAAACATCATCAGCCTTAGCTTAATAACCAGCAAGGAAAGTAGAAAACCAAAAATCTCAAAAATACAGTGTCTCTTTATGTCTGTCTCCACGTTGGGTGAGTGTTG